AGTTGAGTTCACCACTTTTGTGTTGCGCTGAAAACTGCAACTGATGACAGTTGAGAAGCTGGAAAAGCGCAGCAGCTGGACAGCGGAGGGAAAGCCCAAGCCAGGATAACCCCAAGTAGAGAAACTCCTCCACTGCAGTTTTCCCCGCCATTCACACTTCTCTCTCGCTCTCTTTGTCACCATTTTCATTTGCCAAAGTGAAAAATAATTAAAAAGGCGTTAAAAACGGCAACAAACTAAGCGGTGGCCAACAGGGGGGAAAACCCAGGCTGAAACAGGGGGAAAACCAGGCGGAAAAGGGGTATAAAAACGGACCAAGGACCAAGATATCATTCCGAGAAATGCAAAAGAGGAAAAACCCCTTTGCGCCCAGCCGTTTTGGCGTTGACACTTTAAATCATTTTGGTGTTGGCCCCGGATATTTTAATTATTAAATGCAAAGGATCCGCAGGATTTGCCAGGATGCCACACAAGACACAAGACGACCACGAACGAAGCGGTTGGGAAATTGCAGCAACAAAAACAGCTACAAAGGAAGTAAACGGACGCGAGCGCCACGCGTGGAAATTGCTGAGAAGCCTGCGGTGCTGCCACCGCTTTTCTCTCTCGGTCTTTTCCTCTATCTCCAAGCAAAGGAAAAGCTAAATTAGAGCAGCAGGCGGCGAAGGGTGAAAAGGAAAAGGGGAAGTTGAGGGAAACCCCCCAACCTGCTGCGAAAACGCAGGTGCAAGGCGCGCAAATTGTTTGCCAAGGACCAGCCAGGAAGTATTTAGAAGAAAAGTGAAGAGAAACGCGTTCACTGAAAGGGAAGTCAAGGAAAATTCTAGGGAAATAATACACATATTAAGGGGAAAACTGTAATTATTTAGTTAAAAATCTTGAGATTTAATATTTCAATAAAGATTTTTGGCTAGTATTTCCTATTTACTAAAATATACCTATTAAAAACAAACCTTTTCCGTCTGGAAAAACTGAAAAAAGTGAAAAGCAAGCCCAGTGAAAGCGACAAAATCTAAACTCAAATGAAGCGACAAGGATGCTGAGCTGAGGATAAGCAGCCAAGATGGAGCCTCGGGTCTTGAGATAGGGAGAGGGGGAGGAAAAGGCAAAAGGAAAAGCCGGCCAGGTGGAAAGGGAAAACGACTGGGAAAATCCCAGGTAGCCCAAGGATTTGTTGGGTGCCATAACAAAGTGTCTGACGCTCACTCAAGGATCCTGGCTTGGCTTTTTGTTTCATTCTTTCTTTTTTTTTGTTTTGTGGGAAAATGATGGACAGGAAAAAATAGTCACATCATTTTCTAATTTGTAACTAATTCCCCGGACTGCTTCAAAATAAACTCAACTCGAACTCTCCCATAAATTATAAATTTATTTCCATTTCTTCTTTATTTTTCTCGGCGGCTTCTGTGGACTTTAAGGCATAATTAGCATTAGCATCGCACACAGGGAATTCTCAACCTTTGTCTCTGTTTCTCTATGGTTCTCGTGGTGACCTATCAAATGCCTATCAGCAGCAGGTCAGAATTGGAATTGCCTGAATTTACATAATTCTATAAAATTCCCATTAGAGCCCAGTCGATGACCAAAAATATCTCGTGGAAGAGCGGCCATAAAATGACTAATTAACTTTAAGCGTCTTTCGGTTGTCTCTACTCTGTATCTCATTTTTTTGTATTTCTTGTATTGCCTTCGTTGTTTTCGTTGCCTTGTTCAACTTCTTTTGTTAATGATGATTTCGATTACACCTGCTTTTTGGGATTGTATTTCATATATGCATAAAGCATGAGAGAGGAGCCTATGTAGATGTGAGCCGTAAATATCAAATTTTTGAGACATTGGGCTTATTATCTGAAGAGGGGGTTTCATAATCGTTCAAAACCCGTCCCCTCAACCGAAACAAATACATTTTTATTTGCCTAAAAATGAAGCTTGGAATGCCCTAAACAATAAAAACTTCAACACAATTCAAAGGGGGAAAAAATATGACATAAGAAAATCAAAACAAAGTTATGCAAAATCTATTAAAAAAGGTGACAATGGGATTACCAACAACCAATAACTGATTTTAAATGGAAATCAATGAGCAAAATAACTGAAATTTAAACTATAACTATTCGAAATATTTTTCTAAAATTCTAAATAAATTAAAGACAAGTAATTTAAAACCCTATAAATATAAAGAATAATTTAGACATGCTTCAACTTCAAACCTCTTTCCCATTTTATAATACCCCTCGTCTTGAAGTATCATTAAAATATAAAATATCATCTTTGAATTTGGCCATACATGTACATATATATCCGTCTATTTCTCATGCATTTTTTGGGGTTTTTTCTTCGTGTATGTGTGTAAGATGAAACGTCATAAAAAAAAGAAAAAAACACAACACACAAAAAAAAAGTGAGGAAACAATAACGCTGAGTGAGGCAACTTCGTACCATGTGTTGTGTTGTGACGGCTCTCAGACGTATTTCTGTGATGGGTTTTGATGGAGGAATACGGTCTACCAGGCACCGAAAAAAAAACACCAAATAAACAGCACACACATGAGAAGCAAATTATAAACGGGCTATTAGAAGTGGAGTGGGAGGTGGACTATCTATACTTTTTGGGAGATGATTATGATGGATTAATCGATGTGCGAAGTTTCGAGAGACTGGCAAAGCTAAATGTGGAAAATTGCTATGACTTTACTCAATATAATTATGAATCTTTAAAAAGGAAAGAAGAATATTTAAGCTAAAGAATAAAAATATACAAATTTTAAGGAATAAATTATATTTCTATTAAGAAACTCTTTAACTTCGTTCTTAAACTATTGATTATATATTTCTAATTCCCGCCATTGAAGTCTTCAATAACTTTTACTTCCTCTAGAAAGCTTTCTTGTGTGTTTACCTTTTCAGGTATTATTTAAATGGTTTCCTCTCTTTGTTGTTGTTGTTATTCTCCTTACCAATTTCAACTATCCCAGTTTTTTTTTGATTAAATTTGATTGTTGTTGGCCTTTTGTGTGGCTCGTTTCCTCATCTTCATTTCCGACTTCTAATTTGATTTTCGAAAGGTTATCGTTCTCTCTGGGCCTTCTTTGCTTTCCCAGTTGTTTGTTGTAGGTGTGTAGAGATGCTGACTCTTCTTCTATTCGATTCTTCTACTTTATCTATGACGTTGTTGTTGTTGTTGTTGAACTATGCAAATGACTTTATCGCTGGTCTTTTGTTTAGACTTTCTTTACCTCTTTTTTGGCTTTTTGGTTCTATACTCCAAAGAAATTTATAGACGAAAAGAGAGGAAAAAGAGCAATAACAACAACATCTACAACAACAGTAGTTTCAACAACAACAACTACAACAACAGTAGTTTCAACAACAACCATATATACAACCAATATGGTTCATGACTTGACTTTTGTTGATTCTTCCTATTATTTGTTATACCTACCTGTTTCTCAGCTGCTTCTTCTTGTGTTCCCCTTCTCCTCCTGTTTTTATGTTTGCTCGCATCATCATCGTCTTCTCTTATTCCCCCAGCTTCTTTTTATCCAGCTGCCGCTTCTTCTTCCCCCCTTTTGTTGGCATTTCGTTGACCTAAAAAACGTTCAAGCCCAAGAAAGACTAAAAAAAAAAACCAACAAGAACAACAAAATAATCGAAAAAAATGCCAGCGAAGGAGACAAACATAAATTGTTGTTGCTGCCGTTGTCGCCGGCGTTTATTAAGATTCGTTGATGATGCAGCAGCGGCAACTTTAGCAGCAACACTGAAAACGCAGCAGCAACACGAACATGAATTTCAGCAATATCTGCAGCAGAACATGCAGTCAATGCACGGAGAGAAAATAAAAGGATTTATTCTTTATGTAATTTCAAAATTATTTAAAAACTATATTTTGAGGGTCTCGAAATATTTTGTAAAATTTTTTAAGCGGGGGTTTTAGGGTCTTTAAAAGTGATTCAAAATCTATAAATATTCAGTTGTTTTTGTTTAATTACTTTTTATGCATAATTTCGAATGCTAAATATTTATTTCTCTCAGTGCAAAAGCACGGCTGCAACATCTGAGGCCGTTGCATATTCCGTTGCAGCTTTCTTACCTGTTTTTTTTATTGTATTTTTTTTTTTTTGCAAGCATAAAACGGCAACAGCAGCTGCTATCCTAAAATATATTTAAGGTGAGGACCGCTTACCTCGTTTTTCCCCTTGAATCTCCTTTTGGTATCTCTTGCCTGTCTCCGTTTCGGCCTTCAATCTCAGCTTTAAAGTGCCAATCTGAAGTGTAATTAAGTTTTGCAAAACATCTGCCTTTGGAATTTTTTTTCCCTGAAAATTTCCTGCTTCAGCTTAAAGTGGTTAAAAACGTGGACCAAAGAAGGGGTTAAAAATGGGAGGAGATGCAGGGGCAGTAGTGTAGGTTACGCCCTTCCAGGAACTCCTCATAATCATCTTCATCGCCAGCTTCATTGTGGGTTTTTTTTATATTTCTTAGCTGGTTGCCAAATATTTGCTTCGTGCATTATTTTTTGGGTTTTCGCGCGACTTTTGAGTATCAGTAACAGGCAAAAGGAGAGAAAACGAGGAAGATAAATAACCCAAAAAAGGGAAACCAGGAAGGGAGAAATATTTCCATAAGAAAAGAAATCCTTTTGAGTGGCCTAAATAAAGGAAGTTTAAAAATGAAGCTGGCTATAAAAAGTGATGGTTTTTTTTTGAAGCTAAGGAATTTGTATTATTAAAAATTACTTACATTATATTATACATGATCTTTAATCGGTTAATAGAGATAATATATTATATACCCGGGTTTTATAGTTGACTTTCTTACTTTTTCAAATTATTTAAGCGATTTTGTAACACTTTTTAAATATATATTATATTTTTTCAATAATTTCAAACCAATTACCATCATAAAAAATTGTTTATATATTTAATAAAATGTTTTATATAATTTTTAACCAATTTCCATAATACAAAAAGTTTTATACAATCCAAAACGTGGCTTAGATTGCGTTTGGCAACTTCAAGATTTTATCTAATTCTGCAAAAAGTACAACATTCTCGTTACCATTTACCAACAACATTCAATTTCACAGAATTTCTGTAACACATTCAAGAAAATAAAAACCTGTTTAAACAATTTTCTGTCTTCCTCTCTGGCGTGCGTTTTACACCTTCCTCTTCCTTCGGGGCCACCGAAATTTTAAAATTCGAAAAGTACAAAAAAAAAAAAAACATCTGCCCTTTTTGTTGAGCCCATGTTGTTCTTTATTGGTGCTTCTGCTTCTGGCTGGCGATTCTGACATTTACCTAGGCCATCAAACATTTCCTCTCCTCGGACCGACTCGTGTGCGTTGCTGCCCTTTTTCGAAATTTAATTTTGATTTTAATTTGATTTTGAATCTCTTTTCTTGCTGCTGCTGTTTCTGGATGCGTTGATTGTGTTTGTTCTTGTTCTTCCCTCTCCATATCTATCTGCCGGAAATTGTTTTTTAATTGCGAGGAGTGAAGGGTTAGAGGAGGCCTGGCCCAATGATTTGTGGTCCAGAGTTGAACATAAATATTTATTGCAAGTCCGATTTAATCGTCATCTTTATCAGCCTCATCAGCAGTTGCAGTTTGCAGTTGGCAGTTGCAGTTTTCTTTCTTCCAGTTTCTGTTGATTTCTTTGTTCCACAGTTTATCAACTTTTGTCATCGCAAAACAAGCACCGCAGGCCAAGAAACTATGTGCAGATGCTTCCTTTTTTTGTACCCCCTCTCCTCATCAGTGGGTTCCCTCATTCTTTTTGTTGAGTTTTCCCTGAGGTTTTGCCATCGAACATTCCATGGCCTTAGGTTACAGGTTCTTTATGTATTGTTCTTAAGGTGCAGAGAGAAAATGTTTTAAGAATTTTATTAAAACATAAATATAAGTCTAGAGAGTATACAAATATTTAGTATCAAATTTTGACTTGGGAATTTTAGTGGTACTTTTTGTAAAAACTTTCTATTTCTAACAGAAGTTTATTTTTTTTAAATAAAGATTTATATCTTACCTTTTAAATACTGAAAAAGTTTATCTCCCAATTCTTACTAGGGAATTTTAGTAGCAGTTTTTTTTTATTATTTTAAATAAGTATTTATATTTTACTATACCTTTATGTTCTTCTGGGTCCCCGTTTTTCCTCTAAGTGTATTATTTGCATTTACATGTTCCCCTGTTGCTTGGGAGTTTTTTCTGCACCGTTCCCACTGGCATTATAATGCATATTCATATTTCTTTGCACTTTTTTTTTTTACAACCCTGTTTGTCCCTCACATGTAAACGTTATTATTAGCCATATTAGCCCTGGTCTCGTTTCCCTCATCCTTCTCCTCTTTCCACACCCCTCATTTTCTTGTCTCCTATTACATTCTTTTTTTCCCCTTGTCTTTTATTTTTTTGATTTTGTGCCTGCATCTGAGTTTGAAATCCGAGCTTCCTGTTCAATGTCAGCGCACAAAAAAAAAAAAGAAAGAAAAATCACACAGTACACTACCTGCTCTGGGTCATCTTTATCTCTCTTTAGCCGCTAAGCACTTGGGGTATTTCTATGTAATTAAATGAAATTTTACACTCGCAATTTGAGGTGGCAGCTATTTTATTCAGCTTATCACTGCTTAAGTTCTCTAATCTTTTAATTAAATGCAAATTTCAAAGACCAAAAAAATGAGAAAAAATAATTCGCTGCTTTACCATTCATTTGAAATAATCTTATATTTTTTATCTGATACAATTTACTTACACTCGCTTTTCTTCTTTCGTTCTCTTTGCAGGTAAGCCTTGATTCCCTTTTATTGGAATATAGATTGCGGTTATGTGTGTAAGCAAGCTTAGGCGAAATCAATTTTGTTTATAGCTTTGAGTGAAACTTAAATTGAATCAACAAAGGAAGGATGCTTAGTGTGCTCTTTTTTTTTTTGCTTCTTAATATCAAAGCAGCTTGAAGTGCCTCCTTCCTGAACGCTTTTTCCGTTGCCCTTTCCCTGTCACGCATCACTTACATATAGTATAGTGTATATCCTTTATGCCACCCAAACCCCATCGCCATCGTCTCTGTCTCTAGCACGTTGCTGCCATTTTCAATTTTGCATTTTAATAATAAAATTTTGCACAGCACCAGTGCAGCACAAAAAAAAAAAAAAAAGAAAAAGCAGAAGAAAGTAGAAATATAAAACAAAAAATTGAGGAAAAAAACACACAGGATGGTTTGGTAGCAAAAAAAATGGCAGCTGGGCAAACTTTTAACGCCAGACGACGACGACGACGACGATGCATGATTACTTTGTTGATGATGACAACCCTGGCATAACCAGCAGGACACTGAAAAAAAAGAAGAAGGAAGTTTAATATGATTAAAGAAAAATTATTTTGGGTTTTTTTTTAAATCGGAAAAAATAAGGAATTAAAAAATAAGTAATTTAAATTGATTGAAGATAAAATATTTAGGGTTTTTAAACAATTTTAATAATTGTACAAATTGAGAAAAAAATTATTTATAAATATTTTAAGTATTGAAAGAATCGCCATATTAAATTTAACTCAAATATTTTTTAGTACACTTAAAAAATTTTTAAAAATGGTTAGCTTAAAAAAAACGTTTATTTTGATTGAAAATAAAGTGTTTAGGGTTTTTAAAAAATTTTAATAATTATAAATATTGATAAAAAAAGCATTTTAAAATATTATAAATATTTAAAGACCTGATTGCCACATTAAATTTATCTCATAAATATTTTAAAGTTTACTTAGCTTTATCTAGTATAAGAATTTTAACATTTTTCTCTAGTTTTGAGTTTTTTTCGTTTTTTATATTACTTAAGTTTAGATGATTTTCTCTCAGTGTTAACCCGTATGCAAGTCCGTGTGCCCGTGAGTGAGTGATGGGAGGTTGATGTTCAGGGGCGCAAAGTTAGTTCCTGGCAACATGCTGTTGTCTGCGCCACAAAGTATGCAATACATTTTGGCACGTGGCGTGCTCTTTGTCTCAACTTTTATTTTATTTATTTTTATTTTTTTTGTCGGTAGCGATTTCGGGAGTCTGCAATTTTGAAACTCCCTTTTTTGCCCTCTCTGCCCGCCTCTGGTTGTTTATCATTTTGCTGCGTGCTGCCTTCAATTTGCTGCAAGTTGTACGAAACACTTGGTCGAGTTGCAACATTGCCGCTCACTAAAATGCGCCTCACGTTTCCCAGCCCTCGAATTTGCTCTACGCTTTTCTTTTTTTTGTTCTTTTTAATTACGCTTTTCTTTGACGTGTAGCTGCGTTCTTCCACGCTGCCCAACTTTAACCCAATGTTTACATTAATTTCTGCTTATCGAGAAAAATCGACCGATTCTTTTGTTTATTTAAAATTTCCGCTCTTCTTAAGCGTTCTTAATTTATTTTGTTTCCATTGCCAGTTTCTTGTTTTCCTTTCTGTTTTCGCGCATTTTGCATTTTGCTGTTTTTGGTTGATATCATTTCGGTTGGATGAATTACATACAACCTTGTGTGTCACATGCATAAATTTTGGCTCTTTTGTTTTATCTTGGAGCACATGTTTTACAATTTTTTTTTATATATTTTTTTGAAGGCCACAAAAAACAATTTCAAATTTTACACTAAATTGACTTTTGGGCGCACAAATTTTGCATGCACAATTACATTTGCCGGGAACGCGTTGCGATGGCTTGGTAATTGTTAAAATATTTCACAAATTAAATTATGCACAAGTGAGAGAGAGGCAGTTTTTAAAAACATTTGTCACATTATTTTTTCTGGTGCAAATTGTTTTGCGGTTAAGCTTATTTTCAGAGATAGAGCTACCAGTATTTATTATTGTATCAGAATTTTATTTGAAAATTTTTATTGGGGGTTTAAATTTAAAATTAAATGTTGGAAGTGTAAAATGTAATTTAAAAAAACTATGTTTACAATTTTTATTGGGGTTTTAAATTTAATATAAATAATTTGGATATTTAAAATTTAATTTAAAAACTAGGTTTTTGTATATAAGCTCATACAAAGGCTGTAATAAAATAATAAAAGTAGAGTTCAGGAAGGCGCTCAACCCTGCCCAAGACATTTAACTAATTTCCAACTGTAATCAAACTTATTTAACTAAATAAACTATTGATCTGTGACCCCAAATTGCAGTACATCAATAGGTAAACACTCTATATATTCTCCTTAAAATAACAAATTAATTGAAAGACAATTTTAGTAACCAATTCAGTAATCATTGTGAGTACTATGAAGCATTTTAGGCTAGACTAAATATTTTCAATTAGACAATGCAAATAATTTTGTGAAAGTAGCCAAATATTTGACCAATTGAAAGCAAGATGGAAATTATTATAATTTGTTGTGCAAATTATAAGACAGCCAGGGAGAAGGGAGTTCACTTTTGGTTTTCAAGTTGCTCGGCCATGAAGAAGAAAATAAGAAAATAAGAAAATCGTAGTGGATGAAGAGAGATACTCATGTGAGGCAATCGCCAGGTGAATGAGATGTAAAGCGAAAATCGTGTAAACTTCATGCACAGTGAGCAGATTTCCATGGTCAGTTTTCTTCTTCCATTCACTCAACCCGCACACAGACAGAAAGAGTTTTCCCTCTTATCGCCACTTATCTGCACTTCATAATGCGCTTAGCAAAGTTTTTTATTGCATTACAACGGATATTTAGACGCTGTCCGTCTCTTATGCAATTTATTTAAACGCATTTTCCCCCCGCATACATACACGTTTATAAATTGCTTCGATTATGGGATTACATCTCTCTCTTGTGTGTGTAATATTTGTTTGTTGTGTCTTACACAACCACAAAAACACACACAGGACAGAAAAAACAATTTGCTCAATGTGCGTAAAAGATTTTCAACTAATTTTAAGCCTCTCTCACAGGACACACTGAAACCAGATTAAAGTTTCATAATTTCTGCTCCAGAAGAAAGATAAAGTTGTCATTCATTGTTGCTGGGTTGCTTCTGTCTTGGCCTGGCCTTAATTTATGCAAATTTTACAGAGGTATTTTTTTGTCTTGGGTTTTGGTTTTTATCTTATGCATCATTTACAAATTGTTTTGCTTGGGAAAATCCACATAATTGCCGGCTTAAATGTAAATGAATTTCAATTAAAGTTGTGAGCAAAAGCAATATATGCAAATTTAAATGTCTGCCTTGTCGCTCTTTATTTTATTTCAATTTATTTATGCTTAAAGTTTTGGCTTCGTTCTCAGGCCTTCTCAATCTCTAGATTCACACATAATTCTTGTGTTGAACTTGTATTGATACGGTCTCCGCTGATTAAGCTTCGAGTCTATAAATATTTTATTTAAATCTTGGCCAACTTGAAGCATCTGGGAATGTTTTTAAACCAAAAAAAGTATAACCCTGTCTAACGGAAGTTTAAATAAATGTGTTGGCATGCCAATTTACAGAGTTTTTAAAGCGACAAAGCAATTTAAAAATAAAATACAATATTTTCTCATAAAACAAAAGTTGAAGTGGAGCAAAAATTAGTGTCCGTGTGTGTAAAAAGCAAATAGGAAAATATTTTATCAATAGCTTTGACCCAGGTCCAAAAGGGAAATGAGTTTAAAGGGGGGTATAGGGTTGCCACATTAGGACCTTCCTCACTCTCTTATGTTCTCCCCTTTCCATCTCATTTCCTATTGATTAACCAGGGCAAATCCATCATTGTCAATGTGGTCTGGTCTTGCCTCGGTCTCATTAGACTTTTGTCCATTAAAAGGGGGTACGAAAAAAAAGGAGTTAGGGGAAAATGAAGCGAAAATGCAGCCATTAAAAACAGGAGAATGAGTAGAAAAAAAGTAGAAACAGCAGCAGCATTGAGTGCCACAAACAGATGGAGGGGCAAAAAAAAAAACAAAGCAGATTTTCATGGCACCCAAGCAGGAACCAGGTGAGAATGTGCGAACATGAATGGTCAGCAAGGAGGCGAGGAGGCAGCAACCACCGGAGATGGACCCTTTCCTTGCATAAACTTGACTTAATTAGCTGCACAACTAACTTGGCTATTTAAACAGGTGCAAAACGGGGGCAAAACACAAGATGCGGGCAGGTAAAAAACAAAAAAAAAAAAAAAAAACGAGGCAGGAGCATGAGTAAGTGCACACGCACACACACAGGGGACGAAAAAAACAAGCCAAACCGACAATTGCCATTTCCCATTTGCTTTTGGGCTTTTAAGTGCCGCAAATGGCAATTAAAATGCAAAAAAATCCAGTGACTTTAAGCCGAGAGTGCGAAAGCTCTTCATATATGCAGTGTGCAAATGGGGCTTAAAAACAGATTTGGTTCTTTTGGCCAAAATGAAAGCCCAAATTCAATTGTTTAACTGCCGCAGTCAGAGCCCCAGTACCCCCAGCAATTAATAGAAGTGTAAATGGGTGTTAAATCTAAGAAAGATTGCGGTATTTTCAGGGGTAATAAAAGGAAAGTGGAAAAGATTTAGGCAGGGAATATGTAGAAAAGATTATTAAAAGGATAGAGTAAGGGTTTTCTTTATCACGACAGGTTTCTTTTTCGATTTTTGTTAACTAAATCTTTAGTTTTTCCTTCAGACATAAAAATTCCAAAGAAAAACCCAGAAAGTCCCCACACAATCATCACTGATATCCTTACTCACTCACC